GAGACAATCTGCAGTTAAAGTTAAATCTTTATATACTGTATCCCGATTCTCAGCACATCGCAAAATGTTTAGAAATCGCAATATTATCGAATCATGACTCAAGAATCGTGATAATATCGTATCGTATTGTTTGTAAATCCTTCTTAACACTTGTTTACTCTTTAACACACAGGTGCCTCAGTATCAGCAGACAGAACCCTAAATACAAGTACGACTCCGGCTCCAGAGCCGTCCTCTCAGGTATCAGTCGCCTTCACCAGAGTGCCTTTATCGAGCAACCAAGAAACCTCCAGGAGAGACCAGGGGACCAGTCCTGTGCAGTTTCTCAGTTATGATCACACAGAGACACGCAGGGAGAGGATTCAGCCAGGTGGTGTGGACTCAGACTCCAGCAGACTGAGCCACCACAGAGACCAAAGCTTCGTCCATCAGGAGAGGAAGGACTCTGACCTCCCTCACCCCGCTGCCCAGCCGACCATCAGCAACCTGGACCAGCTCTGGCAGAGGTTCTGTGATCAGTGGAGCCAGGAGGAGTCTCGACCGACCAGCAACAGAGAGGCGTCACTTCTGGAGCGGCTAGAGCGCCTGTCACATCTCATTCACAGCACGAAAAGGACTGACTCTTCAGGGGGAAATTATCCAGGAGAAAAGTTAGGAAGGAGGGGAGAAGATGCTGCCGGAAGAGAAAGAAAGAGGGACGTCAGAGAGGGGAAGAGGAGAGACGCTGAACCTCCCGTCGCTCGTCAGGCCCGGTCTCAGAAAGTTCAAGTCCAGGAAACTTCTGAACGTGCAGACGAGGAAACGCACGACTCCTTCACCTCCAACTTCTCTCACAACTCGTCCCTGAGTCCTTACCTCTGCCCTGCCGACAGAGACGAGTCAGAGACTCTGTCCACCGCGTCGGGCTCCATGTCCACTGTGGACACGGCGCGTCTGATCCGAGCCTTCGGGCCTCACAGAGTTCAACACCTGAAGACGAACTCCAGCCTCAGTAAACTGTACAGCGCCATCGACAGGCAGAAAGAAGGACGGGAGCAGAGGAGAGGAGGAAACATCATCACAGATGAATCCACAGTAAGTGAATCTGCATATCGTCACCTTTTAATGTCTTTAAATTAAGAGAAAACAGAACGCCTTTATTCTTCAAGTACAGCACAAAAGGCTTAAGGTACCTTTCTCTGTCCCCGCATCAGCATTTTACACTTTCAGGGTTATTCTTCTTTGAAGAAATATAATCTTTGCACTTTTTTAACCTTTCAGATACAAAAAAACTGGTTCAATGATTCACTGAAGATGTCTGACTTTACTGTCCAGGAATATAAATCAAGATACCAGATCAGTAAACATAGAATATAGCAAATATAAATATATATTTGTCTTGGTTAAAGACCTTTATATGATAACACAGTGACACACACACTGTATAGTAACTCATAATCACAAGTGTTTAACAGCTCTTGACCTTGATGTCATTGTCTCTGTCTTCAGGTTGATGCTGATTCTGCTTCATCGACCAGCACTTACACCCTCCTGTCTCAGCACGGCCCCTCGAAGAGAGCAGTTAGAGGGGTCAACAAAGGCGTCCAGGCAGGTCGGTATAACGAGCGGGAGGTCACTTCAGGCGGCGAGCGTTTGCTTAAAAAACTCAGGAAGATTTCAGGATCAGCCTGCCTGATGTTTCAGGAGTTTCATATGTGAAACAGCTCAACTTTCCTTTAGTGCAGGTTTCATGTTTAACATCTAACATTAACATGAAGTGAATTTATCCCAGAAGTCCTGACACAACTTCGATGATGAGCAAAAAATACAAACATGAAAGCTGCAATAAAACAGTTTCCTCTTTCCCTCAGGCGACCTGGAGCTGGTCAGTAACGCGACTCGACGTCACACCAGAGATGTTGGAACCACGTTTCCTTCACCCGCTGAAGCCAGAACCTCCAGGCCGATCTCATCGTCCTCGTCCAGCGTAGAGAGAGGAGGAGGGAAGAGGAGCCTCTATAAGACTCAGGGATTACAGAAACACAGAAAGAGCAAGAAAAGCCCAACAAAGACCTTCCCTCAAGGTAAGACCAGCTGCAAAGGGGGGTTTCTTTTACCCCTAACTTCAGGATTTTTACACAAATGAATACAGCCTTTGGTTTATGAATTTTTTGGTTTGGCTGTTTTGAACGTTCCCGGTTCTCTCCAGGTGTTTCCTGGTTCATCTCTGCTGACGAGCTGAAGTCGGAGGCGAGGAAGGAGAACCAGCCAGAGGACGAGGAGGCGGCGTGGAGGCAGAGCACCGCCTGGTTTGAGCCGTACAGCAGAAGCAAACCGTGGAGAGAACCGCTCAGACAGAGACAAGTCCACCATGACAGAACAGAGCAGCAGAGCTTCATACATCAGGCCGATCTCGATTTAGATCCAAGAGCCAAAATGATGTCTCCTAGTCTGGCTCGTGTTTCCCTCCAGGTCAGTTTCTATTCTGACACTTTTTGTCTGTGTTTATAAGTTAAGAGACTCTTGGGAGTAATGTGTGTTTGTGTTGGGAAAAAGAAATGCAAACATCTTTAATGTGAAACAGATAAAACTCATTTACAGATTCTGAGTCTGTTTAGATTTAAGATTTGAATTTAATAATCGTAACGCCTTTTAAAAACATTGCTGTGTGAATTCTTAATAATGCCACCTTCCCTCCTCTCTCCTGCAGGAGGCTCTGGAGATGCGTCGCCCTGACTTCATCTCTCAGTCCATGCAGAGGGTGCAGCGTCTGGCTCTGCAGGCGGAGGAGAGGAAGCTGCAGGCCGACTTCACAGAGAGAGGAGAGAGAGAAGAACTCTTCTGCCGCCCTGGAGGAACGGGGAGGATACCGAAGCCTGCAGGTACTCAACACCAAAACCAAGAGGGAGGGAGACGCTTGACTGAAACCTCAAATCTGCTGATTTCTGAAGCTTATGGAGAATCTCAAGTGTCTCCATTTTTAGTGAAAAGCTCTCTGTGTCTCTCTCTCTCTCTCTCTCTCTCTCTCTCTCTCTGTTCAGGCCCCGCTCTGCTCAGGAGAGCCGTTCCAAGGAAAGAGATGATTCAGAGATCCAAACAGTAAGATTTTCACTTTCTCTGAAGAATAACATTTCATTCAGGTTCAGTTTTTCTTCTGGTGACAGTTAATACATTTTGTAGTTAGGCTGTAGGCTAAAGACCTTTTGATTCTCAACATGATTGGACCGTTCACTCTTCCATCAGTGGGTCAAAAATGATCAGTTTGTTTTTTTTATACGCAATATCTGTCATGTAAGGGAACCATATTCACTCGTGTTGTGTTCTGTCGTCCACACCAGAAGATCTCATGATTTAATTACTTTTTATTTTCTACTTTTGAACATCAGAAAGTCACTGATAGTCATTTTTGAACCACTTCCTGCATCTTAGGGTTAAACTGATTTGAACCGATTACATTTCAACCGTGTACCAACAAAAGTTTCTCAATGTTTTTCTTGTCTAGGATTTACGAGAGTCTGCCGGAGGTGCAGAGGAGGAGAGAGGAGGAAAGAAGAAAGGCAGAGTATCGATCGTACAGACTCAACGCCCAACTTTACAACAAGGTACAACACAGAAAGAATCAGAGTCTCTGCATCAAAGGGTTCTCTTATACTCTGATATCTTGAGCCTTTTGTTGGGAGGTTGTTATTTTAGTTTCTTAATGACAAGAAGGTTTACACAGTTTAAGAATGGCTCCAAATGATTGCTTCAACTTGCAGCTGAAACTTTATCTCTAAGAGTTCTTTAAAGGTGACATATCCTCCTCCTCCTCTTCAGTGTAAATAAGTGTCAGAGCTCCTCAAAACATGTGTGTGAAGTTTCTTGTTCTAAATCCACTCTGATCCTGTATTTGATCATGTCTATAAACCCCTCTATTTCAGCCCTGCTCAGAACAGGCTGTTTCTGTGTCTGCACCTTTAAATATGTAAATGAGCGGTGTCTGACCACGCCCCTCTCTGGAAGGGCTCGGGTGTACTCGGTCTTTCTCGCTCTATGTCCTATTGTTTACGGTGAGAAGGCAGACTCAGAGGGCAGAACAAACGCCTAGCTGTGGGAGTGTCACCCACCTGGGGGAGGGGCTACTGCCCTTTGTGATGTCATGAAGGGAAAATCTCCAAACGGCCTGTTTGAGCACACATTTTCTGAAAAGTGGAGCAGGCAGAAGACGGAGAGGATGGACTTTCCTCATCATTGGGGGTTTGTAGACGGACTAGAGACACATGTTAGAGTTAGAGGAACATGGGGAAGAGGATTTTACAGAATATTTGACCTTTTAAAGTTAAAACAAATACTCTACAACTACATCTTCTCTGCTTTAACCATGAAGTGGTTACTGTCAGGATGCTTTTAATTATGCTATCACACACTTAAATAAACAATCCGATCCTGTTGGTGGTTAAAACAAGCTTTTACTCGATGGTCATCGGGTGCATGTGTCCTCAAAATAAAATCACAATTTAATGAGCTGCAGGTCAAAACGATCAACTGGAGCATTTCCTAAACTTTTTCTTTTACTTATTTAAAGCTGAAAAAATATTTTAAAACAGTTAAAAAATTTTTAAAGAAAACACCAGAATCCCTGTTTCACTCACCTTGCCTGGAGCGTTTTCACGAGTGCAGCGTCTTTCTGTCTTTCAGAGAATCACCGGCCACGTCCTCGGCAGAAGAACGGCGTGGCATTGATGGAACAGATCAGTGACCTCTTTTTAAAATAGATTAAATGAACAATGTGAAACCAGTTTAAAATGTTTTATATTCAGATCAAAACTACCTGAAAACTGCTTTTTATTTATTGGTGATCAAATTGTTTTTAGGATAATGTTTGAAGTAGATCTCGACTCGTTTTCTAACACATCACTGGAATGTTTTTTAATCGGTCTAAAGTTGTTTTTATGTGAAAATAAACCCGATGTCTGCAGATTCTTAAACCTTCTCTTTGCTAACTGTTTGGATTTTGAACACAGAAGACGGACGAGGAGAAACTGGCTTAAATGTCTTTATTGATCAGTTAACGTTTGTGCGAGAGCAGGAAGCCACACGAGGACGAAAGGTAAGACGAGTTAGACAAGCTGCAGACACTTAAATAACAGAGTGAATAAATAAGAATTAAGATGCACTATGCCCATTAAATACATCGTTTAATAAAACTTCAAGTTAAGACCGTACTGTGCAAACATAAATACTCTAATGAATCATAAAAAATAAAAAAAAACAGTTAATCAGACCGTGGCAAAAACAGAGACTCTTTGGCAAAGATGGAGTTTTGCTTTTAAACACAGTGTGGTCTGAGCGAATCAAAATAAGGCAGGCGATGATCGCTCGTCACCTCGCAGCTCTCTGCACGTTTAAGGCTCGGACACAAACTGAAACAGGAACACGACTCAGCGGAACGAGAGGTTCAAACACAACGGATCTGAATTATTTTCAACCAAAGCCATCGGTGTGTACGGAGAGCCAGAAGACTCGGGTTTAAAAAAAAGATGTTTGTAAATCCATTCCCAGCGTTTACAAAAGAATTTGTAAGAAACTGTAAGGTAATTCTCCTCCACACCACTAGGGGGGCACCTCGCAGCTGGTCGGTGTACCGGTACTTCTTAGCACCTCCCACCTTATTAAGGTCAGGAGAAACAAATGATGGACTCCATGTTTGCCAGGCGTCTTTTGAGTGACCATCAGTGCACCCATAACTCTTCATTTATCTTCAAATAAAGTGGATTGATGTGATCTCGATCTCGTCTCCTGGCGGTTTGAGGCTCCAGTTTGAACCGTCAATAACCTACACGTGAAGGGATTTATAACCGCTGCTCAGTGAACAGAAACCCATTGCAAAGATTTACAAACAACAGTTTTTTTCCTTCCTGAGCCTCGCAGGCCTCCGTAGGTGAATCATTTATACCAAGCATGAAAAAGTACACAATAACAACTGGCATGACATTCACACCCCGAGAGTGAGAATAACTTAATAATAATTAAAAACCAATAAAACCCTTCTTCTGTTCTTTTTAAATAAACATGAATCTGTCTGACAGTAAATCCTTTAAAAGGTTCAAAACATTTTGTTCTCGTTCGGTGCAGTCGATAAAGTTTCAGTTTCATCAACAGAGGAAAATAAACCGTCAGCACGCTGCAGGTCAGAGATACTCCACTTCCTGCCTCCACGGGGACGTTACTTCTTCACTCACAGATTCACTAACAACAAATAAATGAACCCTTTGATTCTGGACAGTTATCAGTCACCAGTGTCACATTTTACTCCTTTAAAAGATTTTAAAACTTATTCTCCTTCTAAATGTTTTTAAATGTGTATTTTCTAAAAGCGGCCTGCAGGAACAGAAAGTCGAGTATCTCTGCGTGTTACTTCACTACTACAAAGATTACATCGTTACTTCTATCTGTTCTTTGCTGCATCTTAATTCTGTTTTGTTTAGTTGTTTTTTTAATTTGGTGATATTTTAGCATTTTTTAGGTCGAGGCTTCAAATCAGCTCATTGAGTTTCTGCCTCTCCCTGCACTGAAGTTTGTTATTTGTTTAATATGTTTTTTTTCCCTTACTGTGCAAATAAAAAAATACTAAATTAGTCGATCAGTGGAGCAGTGAAGAGAACGTGCAGCTTTTATTCTCCTCTGTTGTTTCTCTCGTTTTGTAAAATGTGCAAAAAGTCTCTTTGATCAAACCAACAGTACGAAGCCCTTCTACTCGCTCCTAATGAACAAATCTACATTTAACCCCTCACAGTTCTTCTCTCCCTTTAAACAGTGAGCTTTTTAAAAACAGTGACACCTGATAGAAACGTAAACATGACCCTCCTCCTCCTGTGTGCTGTGAAATATCAGAGCAGAGAGTGAAACATAGAAAGCAAACCTCCCCCCTCCTGCAGCTGATTAGAACGACTCTGTGCAAAATCAAATGTAGTGAATCTGTGCAGCGTGCGGCGAGGATCACGGCCTCGACTGATCTAGAAGTTACCGATACAGCTTTGCGGAGCTTGTGTCAGGAGAACAGCAGTCTGATGAAGGTCACTCTGAAGGTTAAAGTTTAAAACGTGTTTGTCTTTGATTTAGATCATCGATGGGTTGTTCAGGTTTCACAGGAAGAGGAAGAGGAGACACTTCAAAGTGTTTTTTTGTTCCTTTAAAATCCTCACATGTATTGTACTCACATACGAGCAGTTAACCTAACGAGCATGACTTTGGACTGTGGAAGGAAGCCGGAGAGAACATGCAAACTCCACACAGAGAGGCTCCTGTCAGACAGGGATTCAAACCAGGAACCTCCTCACTGTGCACATTATGATGTCACTAAAGGGGCATCTTCAGATAAAACGGTTTCTAATTTAAAGATTTATGGATCAGTGACAGATTGATTGATTCGTCTTTAAGGATTTCGTTTCAGTCCAAATATTGAACCTCCAAAGTGATCTTGAGATCAGACTCGGTCCTGACTCTTTTATAAATACGATTAAATATACGTTCCTGCAGGTTATGATCACAGTAGTGTTTTTTAAATACTTCCTGGTTTCCCTTGTTTGGCCGTGGAGTGGAAACCAGACTGCTAAGCTGAGGAGGATGAAGATGATGATGAAGATGAGGGTTCAGGGATCAGGTGTCCGTCAGGTCTTCAGCAGACTGTGAACTCTCTGCAGCTGATTCTGTGACAGGACGAGTCGATGGACCTGCTCCTGACCGCGGGCGCACGGCAGCATGACCCGACCCACCAGGACCGCGTCGCCCTGCTTCTCCTCCTTCGCCTGGAGACGAGGAATAAAGTTTGATCATTTTTAATATTCAGAGACGACGGAGACACGAAGCGGCCATCTTTAACATCTTCAAAATAATGAATGAAGGAAAATAAAGATGATGAAATCCTCGCTGACAGGAGGACTTCAAGTCTGTCTCTCTTACCTTCACAAACGTGGTCGAAGGAAAGGTTGCGAAATCAGACGAGATCCGAGCGCCGGGTTGATGGTTGACGACGTGCTCCGCTACTTCATCCTGAAAATAAAATAAAAAGATGTTTTCAAATCAGACGATTCAGAGAGTCATGATTAGTTCTGATTATATTCAGAGTTCAGGGATTTAATTTAAAGTTCCTGTTTTCTGGAACTTTGTTTCTGCACAGCCGTAAAGGTGTGTGTGTGTGTGTGTGTGTGTGTGTGTGTGTGTGTGTGTGTGTGTGTGTGTGTGTGTGTGTGTGTGTGTGTGTGTGTGTGTGTGTGTGTGTGTGTGTGTGTGTGTGTGTCTGTCTGTCTGTGTGCGTTTGTTTGTTTGTGTGTGTGTGTGTGTGTTTTTCTTTGTCTGTGAGTGTGTGTGTTTTTCTGTGAGAGTGTTTGTTTGTCTGTGTGTGTGTGTGCGTTTGTGTGTGTGTGTGTGTGTGTGTGTGTGTGTGTGTGTGTGTGTCTGTCTGTCTGTCTGTCTCTGTGTGTGTGTGTGCGTTTGTTTGTCTGTGTCTGCCTGTCTGTGCGTGCGTGCGTGCGTGCGTGCGTGCGTGCGTGCGTGCGTGCGTGCGTGCGTGTGTACCTTCAGTCGGCCCAGTGTGTCACTGAGTGACTGTAATCTTGCCGTCTGTTCCAGCAGCTGAGCACCAGGAGTCACTGCAGGACAAACAGAAACAGGATGTTATGACCATGAGTGGTACTTATCGAGGCGCCACTTTAACATCGTCTCCCCGTCATGAGGTCATAATGCTGCTTTCAAACAAAACGCTGGTAAACTGTTCAGTACAATAAAGTCGCTGCTTTGATTGAAAAGACTCCAACAAGTGAGCAGAGGAGGCGGGCAGAGAGACTCGAGGGCGGTGGGTCTGAACTCAACAACTATCAGTGTTACCCTCGTCTGAGAGCTCGACTAGTGAACAGGTATGAGCAGGATTACAAACTCCACCTGGTGGACACAGACGGTACTACAAGAGCGACACAAGACGCTCATTTTGTTTCTCTCTGACCAACCTGGAGATTTCCCCGTGATGTCGACCACCTTGACGTTGGCGCTCATCTGCAGCAGAGTCTCCAGCAGCTGGTCCGTTTTGCGGTAGAGGGCGCTGGAGAGCACTTCAGGCCGACCGTCTTTCGAGGGAAGTTTGGTCACGTGAAGAGGAGGCAGAGCGGCGAGCTGAGCACGCATCTTCTCCGCCTGAGAGGAGAAAAAACAAAGAGTGAAGTTATAAATATTCTTAAAGAATGTTGAGTTTTTGTTTTTTAAAGCATCGTGTGTTTAGATGTGGATACCTTCAGTCGGTTGTTGTCGTTCTTCAGATGTTTGATGCAGAGTCTCTGAGCTTCGATCTGCTGAGTCAGCAGAGGAGAGTCGATCACCTGGACGCCCGAGCCGGAACCGACGCCAGAGATCATGTTCGCTGCAGGAGAGACATCAGATAACACGTTATAAAAACACCATTTAAACAACAGCTTTCTCCTAAATATTCCATCTTCAGGTCCCAACTATAAAACATCTTGTGTTCATACGTCACTGTAATTTTGGAAAATAACTGTAACACATGCATAAAACTTTACTAAGATAAATCTTTTTATTCCACTGCAATCAGTGTTGAGCTTATCAAACATGTTGCATCGTCTTAAAGAAGTGTCTCCATCTTATACAGCGTCTTCATGACAACTTATGTCAACATGTCAAGAAAAAACTGGTCTGTGACATGCGATCTTTAAAAAGATTGAGGATAAATGTGGATTCATATCATGCAGTGAGGAGACACACCTTCATGACCTTTTAATGTATCAGGGTTTCTGCAGGACTCACTGAGATGAATGAAAGGTATCTTACTATCTGATCATTAAGGAAACATGCTATGTTGAAGTGCTGGCTTCTCTGACAACAATGCAGCAGCCAGTATGTCCTCCTTCTAACTTTAGATTCTGCTCCTGAATGCTCTGGATTTGTTTGGACCAGAGAAGGTAGGCGCTTTTAAGACACCCCCCCCCCCCCCACACGGCCGTTTTGGACACCCCTCGGTTTGTCAGATATGAGAGCAGTTATCAGGTCAACAGGTGTTGCAGTGATGGAAGCGGTCAAGAGAAGTGGTTCAGATAGAAGTGATTGTACCCGACCTAAAAAGCCTCTGCATGTTTCTAATAAGCTCCACGAGCAGAAACGTGCTCAAACTAGGATCAATATTGGAGATGCTTTTGAAAAATGGAGAGAGGTTAGAACACAGAAAGGTTTACAGACCCATGCAGAGCTGGATAAACACTGAAGCTTCAGAGTCCACCACATGGTGACCTGTGTGAGCATGGACTTTAGAGGGGGGGGGGACAGCTCTCTACAATGTTTAGAATTTCGACTGCAGTACCCATTTTAAACACTAGGTGTCAGAGTTACATACTGCTGCTTTAACATGCATGAAGAATGTAACTGCTGTCACACCATGCACAGTTAAAATTAAAAATGAAAGTTAGCATGCAGGATCAACGATGTGTCAGGTAGATACCTTTTTGTTCCTCTGCAGAAGTGAAAGATTAAATAGAAAGAGTGTAAAGATAAAGCAGGGATCAAAGGGTTAAAGAGATGAATAAAACAGCATCAGGTCATCATGACACGTTTGAGAGAGTCTGCAGCTCCTGTAGTTCCTCTCACCTCCTGATATTCCCGTGACGATGGAGGCGATTCCCGACGGGCCGGTTCCTCTCAGCCCGTCGACGGTCATCTTGGAGGAGCTGTTGATTCTCTGCTTCAGCTCCGCCTTCTCCGCCTCCAGCTGGTCGATGTCGGCCTGCAGAGCGTCCATCGTCTCCTCGAACTCCCTGCAGAGAGGAGGAACATCACACAGCTGTTAGACGTCTGTTATGTGACCTAACGTCTCTGAACCTGCAGCCGGACGGCGTTCTTACTTCTCTTTCTTCTTCAGCAGCGTCTGCGCCTCGTCCAGTCGGGTCTGAATCTTTTCAACGCGCTCGTCTGCGTCTTTGGACGAACTGTCCAGCTTCTTCTCCAGCAGGCTGAGACGGACGTTCGCCTCGCTCAGCTCCTCCCCCTGAAAACATGCAAACCAAGGATGCAGTCAACAAACTTCAGTCATGCTTCGTTGGTGATTTGTCTTCATATTTTGAGACTTTATCCTGTGATCTATGAAATATACAAAAACAGATTTAACCAAAAATGTGAAATGATTGAGTGTAAAATGTGTTAACATTTCTCATTTGTGGTTCCTCTTCTAACAAGATCTGAAGTTCCAGTTTCAGCAGGTAGGAGAGTTCACTCACCTTGATCTTCAGAGACTTCTTCAGCTCTTTGATGACCGTCTCTCTGTCCTCCAGCTTCAAACCGAGACCCTCTGCGTCGGTGATCTCAGCCCGGAGGGCCGCAGACCGCACGTCCACAGGAGGAGGATTCTGAAGGAGAGAATGTAAACACATGCATTTATCTAATCCAAAACCTGCACCAGAAGAAGATCATTTGAACACTTTTGATTTGTGTTACCTTGCTTTGAGGCTTCTCAGAGTCGTATTCTCCCTCCTGCATGGCGGTGGCCATCTTGTTCATGGTTGCTATGACCATGCCACAGGACTGACGCAGATACTCGTACGGGTTGGCTCCCTGCGATCCGTAAATCTGAGAACGACAGTGAGATCGTTTAACCATGTTAGAAAAACTACGATTACCATACGTAGAGTTTCTTATGGCTGCAGGACGCTTTCTTTTTAATTTCTAAATTTTGGTCAGAGCTTCTTCTTTGTTTGATTTCACTGAATATTTGTCATGTTTGCATGAATATTTTCATATCAGGAGTCAGGATGTGTCACTGTTATCCCGGGGCCTTGAGTTTCTTTTTTGATTGTTGTTTTCTGTTTTCATAAATAAATCTTTATCTTGTATTTCTTCACATTTTCAGTCGGTTTCTTTTCCCATCTTGTACTCCTGTGTGAGTCTCTTCACTTTAAACGTATTGGATTTACCTGCTCTCCGGCCTTGAACGCCACATCCTCCAGTTTGACGGCCGCCAGCCCCTCCTGCTCGCCGAGCGGCGACATCATCTGAGCTCCGGCTGCTGCCACCTCCTGCAGCACGGCAACCACCCAGGTCAGGTGTTTCCTGCAGTCTGAGAGCGTGTCTGACACCTGCAGGCAAACATCGGTATTAAAAACAGAACAAACTAAAGCTCAAATCTTAAACGGTCGACAGTAAACACCCTGATGGTAGAGGCTGTGGAGTAAAGTGACCATCAGTGTCAAAAGGCAGGGTTTGTCATTTTTTAAAAACTAGTATTCCCTCTGTGCTCCGTCTACACCCACCCTCTCCCCTCTGTTCTCCCTTTTTTGTCCGTTGCCGTGGTTACCTGCAGTCCGAAGTTGAGCGCAGCAGGGATCCCCGGCGCGTCCGTTCCCGGCATCCTGCGCCTGATCTTCTTGCAGAACTGTCGGATGTCGCTGCAGGACGTCTCCAGGTCCTTCAGCAGCACGGCGAGGTCCGCCTTCTCCTGACCGGTGTGCAGGAACGCCCGCAGACGACCCACCTCCACCGCCATGCAGTCCAAGGCACTCTGGGTAAACTGTAGACAAAACACGACAGATGAACTTTGTCAAGCAGCTAGATCTGCAGACACAATGTTCACTAGCAAAGGGAGCGCTGGGAAAAAGAGGAAGCATGTTTACGACTATTATTGAACCAGGGAGAAAAGAGACTTCTTCTTCCTTCTTAAAGTGATGCATCGGGGACATCATGAGACTTCTCACAGCCTGTTAAAGATGTTGGTACTCACTCGGATGTGATCGGCCAGCTGCATGGTGCAGTCCTCAGTCTGATCTGCCAGGTGGATGCTGTACAGGTGCTGAGAAAAGAAGGACAGGAAGGAGGAGTCAGAGTTCAGCGTTCTGGTTGTGTCAGCAGCTCATGTTTTTAATATGAGCTGAATATAAAGTCTTAAAGAGAGGCGCTGTAATGTACGACTGTTCAATTCAGTGTTGTAAATGTGCACACATGGATCACATGCAACCTTAAACGATCGATGCAAAGTTCCTCAATGTATTTAAGTTTTAAATCACAACTTTTATTTTTTATTTTTTATATTCAGGTCTAATTACAGATTTTTTTTCCCTCAACTGTTTATAGGTTCTTGCTTTAAATGTCATATATTTTTATCCCTGCACGGGTTATGTACATTTCTTGTATAAGTCTATTTTTAATTGCACAGTTTAAGTTTGATTCATCTAGAGGCTTTAAATCTTTTTTCAGGTTCATATATATGTATGTGAGGGGGGGGGCGTCGGTTTTGTGGTTAATTTGTAACAAATGTTTCATGTCATGTCTTTGTAACCTGCTACTGGATGCTTTGAATTTCCCTCGGGATCAATAAAGTATCTATCTATTGAAATTCTAACTCCTCCACCTCTATGGCTTACATGACACTCCGTCCTCCGCAAGGTCAAAGTGACAAACCGACCAATAACCATAAATCTGCACAACAAACGACGACTGATGTTTGAGTGAGATGGTCTGATGGAGTACTGAGTGAGTGTCTCTCTCTCCTACCTGATAGTATTTGATGGCCTTGGTGAGCGGCTCCACGTTGACCGTCTCGTCCAGCTGGTCTTTGTGCAGCAGGTCGATGAGGAAATCCAGAGATCGCTCGTGGACGCTCATCTCCGGGTAGAGAGTACCGATCTTCTTGTAGACGTCCACGCTGCACTGAGTCAGAGCTCTGACACACACACACACACACACACACACACACACACACACACACACACACACACACACACACACACACACACACACACACACACACACACACACACACACACACACACACACACACACACACACACACACACACACACACACACACACACACACACACACACACAAACTACTTAATACTAAATGCAAAACTGCATCACAAAACTTGAAAACAAAAACACGACATGGAACGCAAAAAAAAAAGGATAACACACAAAAATGTTGTGGAACGCACAAATCTGAACAAATGCAACCTTTCAGTCCTGACTCCTGTGTTACAGACTTACTGTTCGTATTTATGCAGCGTGGCCTGCAGCAGACAGAGCGAGTAAACCAAACCGCCTGCAAAGCTCAGCTGCTCGCCGGCCGCTCCCTTCATCCCGGCTCGCTCCACACAGCTCTCGTTCAGGTCGAACTTCTCCTGAGCCTGTTTGCTGATCAGCTCCGCCTGCACACAAAACAAGACAGCTTAGTAAGTCTCATCTTTATTCTTTTTTTCCCATGGTGCATCTGTTGGTAGGAGGAGATGTGGTTAAAATTCGGCGGTGTCGACCTTGCAGATGAGTCTGGGGATGAGCAGCAGCACCAGGATGCAGTCGTGGTCGCCGCCGTGACGGAGGAACGACTCGGGCATGAAGGAGGTCAGAAGAGAGACGTGTCTGTTGGCCTGACCGACCTCCATCTTCCTCAGCTCCATCTCGATCGCCTGGATGTAAAAAACATGACGGTAAAATAGAATCTATAGATTTAACAATCCCTAACCCTTTTTATACTGTTAATGTTATGTCTGTATGTTTGTCTTTTGTGTGTGTGTGTGTGTGTGTGTGTGTGTGTGTGTGTGTGTGTGTGTGTGTGTGTGTGTGTGTGTGTGTGTGTGTGTGTGTGTGTGTGTGTGTGTATTACTGTGTTACTAAATGAAAATGCACTTAATTCGACTTGCTTTTGTGATGTCGTCTTCTTAAAGTCTTTTCTTTCTGGTTTTACTATTTTTATCTTCTTTTACTTCTTATTGTTCTTTTATTTATGCTCTTATCTTAACTCCTCTTGTGTTTTAATTCGGTAATTTCTTATCTTACTTACTTTGTCTATTTATGTTTTATATTTTTATTCAGTTTTTTGATAACTGATTCACTTGTTTCTATTTCTCTTCCTGCTCTTACCTTCTTATTGCTGTTCTCTTTTGATTTACTTTGAGCTCTTCTAGTTTCTTAAATCTTTTTAAATCTTTGGTTCCTCTTGGTCTCAGCTCGTGTTGTTGGGTTCTTATGATGGTTCTAGTGATGGTTCTTGTGATGGTTCTAGTGATGGTTCTAGTGATGGTTCTTGTGATGGTTCTTGTGATGGTTCTTGTGATGGTTCTAGTGATGGTTCTTGTGATGGTTCTTAGTGATGGTTCTATGATGGTTCTTGTGATGGTTCTTATGATGGTTCTTATGATGGTTCTTATGATGGTTCTAGTGATGGTTCTTGTGATGGTTCTAGTGATGGTTCTTGTGATGGTTCTTGTGATGGTTCTAGTGATGGTTCTAGTGATGGTTCTTGTGATGGTTCTAGTGATGGTTCTTGTGATGGTTCTTGTGATGGTTCTTGTGATGGTTCTTGTGATGGTTCTAGTGATGGTTCTTGATGGTTCTTATGATGGTTCTTGTGATGGTCGGGTTCTATATGTCTGTTGGGTATCGTGCACTTTGGGTTCTTTTCTGTTGGAATGTTTTTTTTAATTCTGATTATTTTTCATTTGTTTGTTCTTGTTGTTGTTTATGTTCTTCTGTGTTTGGTCTAGTTTACTTTATTCTTGTTTTTGTCTTTTGTTTGTCAAAACACTTTGTTAACCTGTGTTTTTAAAAGGTGCTATATAAAAATTATTATTATTATTATTATTATTATTATTATTATTAATAAAAAATATTGGTTCAAAAAAACAATAAACAGTGAAAAACTCTGAAAGTTTGAAGACATTCACAGAAAAACAAATCATGGGTTTAAATCTATCTGAGTGCAATTTTCTGGCTTCAACTTTACAACCTTCAGCCCGAGTTCGAGGTGAGAAAAGGACGTTCAGGCTGATAAACTCTCTCACTTCTCAGAGTGTTCTCTCTCATTATTTAAAGAGCCGTTCTCGTCTCTGACCTTGGCGTACGCCTTCGTCTCTGCAAACTTAATCTTGAAATCAAACATCTCTGCGACCGGCTGCTGCTGCAGCTCCGCCGACGCCTCCTGCTGGCTGGTCAGCTCTCTGTTCACCTCCTGCAGCAGACACACAAATCGGGATCAGATCGATCAGGAGGGGGTTGGACTCCTGAATCAGAAATGGGAGAGTTTGAGTGTGTGTACCTGCAGGTGAGCTGTGAGCTCGCGGTACTTCTGGATGGTCTGCTGGTAATCGGCCACCGTCTCCTGAGCGGCTTCGACGCGTTTCTCTGACTCTCTGACTTTAGCCCCGCCCAGGTCCAACATCTCCCTCAGCTCCAGCTCCGTCTCTCTGGCGTTCTCCTGCAGCTCGTCGTTCATCTCGTTGATCGCTTCCTGACGGGTAAAAAAACAAACAGACAAACAATCAGTGATCTGATGTTCTTCTGGTTTTATCTCACTTGTCTCATGTCGAGAGATAAACGACCTCGACTCGAGTCACTTCAATCTCCTCTGACGTCGAGTTTATGAAAACACAGAAAGTGCGCAAGTCTAATCTCATATCCAGAAGTCTGTTTGTTTGTTTGTTTGTTTGTTTGTTTGATTGTTTGTCTCACCAGGTCGGTGACCGTCTCTCTCAGCTCCCGGACTTTCTCCTCCAGGTCCAGATTCCTCTCCGTCAGAGTCTCCACCATCTCCTCCGCCCCCAAAGCCGCATCCACCTGAAACAACCCACATCATCATCATCATCATCATCCTCATCCTCATCATCATCACCATCATCCTCATCATCATCATCATCACCATCATCATCATCATCATCAGAGTAACTCCATCATGAGGTGAAAAGACTCTGACCTGTTCTTTCAGCTCGTCGATCGTCTTCTCGGCCGCCGACATCTCCTCCTGCAGTTTCTCCTTCTGGCTCCTCAGAGCGTCCAGCTCCACGTTCTTCTTCTCCATCTGTTTCTGCAGCTTCACGTGTTCCTGCTTCTCTGACGACGACAGGTCACGCATCCTGAGAAGAAAAAAAAAAGAGACCGAATTAAAAATCTGGATGAGAGCTTTGTTGGATTCCTCTTCCGTCCGTTTTAACCTCTGAACCTCGAATTAGAATGTGGCTCATTTCAAATCCAGGTGATACTTCCTGTACAGAACATTTTGTTTTTAATGACAGGAGGAAAAGAGCTTTTTTTAAATCCGGGATGACATAATCAAAATTAAATTATGTAAAAAACCGATGTGTAACCGATGAAATTGTGGACTGTACCTTTAAGACATACTGTGTTGCTAGGTTACTCAGGGAGTGACATCACTAGTCTAACTGGTGGCTCTCCTGAAGGGGTGAAGACCTACCTGACCAGCGCCTCCTTCAGTCGGCCGTTCTGCTCCTCCAGCTGTTTGACGTGATAACTGGACGCCGCGCCGTCCGACCCTGTGAGCGACACACAAACACAACTTCAACTCAACGACCCGCAGACGATAAAACAAACTTCATTATGTTTCCTGCAGGGGTTGAATGGCAAAAGAAATGGCGTTTCCTCTCAGCTGGCTCTGAACTCTGAGAGCGCCACTTTGTAAAGACGTGAAGAGAAACTTAACAGGATGAAAAGTAAGCCGTACCTTTCTCCTCGATCTCGTGCTTCAGGATCTCCAGGTCCATGGTGAGCTCGTCCACTTTCTCCTTGTGCGAGTCGACCTCCAGCTGCAGAGACTCCGCCCTCTCCTCGGCCATCTCCTTATCCAGCGTGGCCATCTCGATGGCGTCCGCCGTGTCCGACATCTCCTCCATGTAGCGCTCCTTAGCCTCCTGCGCTTCTTTTGCCTCCTGAACAACATGAAGTTAAACTTTATGTTTAAGTTTGTTCAGTCTCTTAAACCTGCTCACACATTTATCAAGCGCCCAACAAACATTCTCACAACGCACACACACTTCTCATGAGATGACCTCGACCCGCTGCCAGTTACACAGTGCAGGTGTAAACAGGTGATCGGGCCGTGTTGTGGTCATGGGAGAGATGCCGCCCTCCTTTTTGAGAGCTTGAAAAAGACATAAAATCGACTTTTGACGTCACTACGTTAAAGTCTTTCTATGTGATTATTCACACTTAAATGTAGAAATCAAGTATCTCCTCTGAAAATAACTCTGTGAGTCATGACTGTCTACAATGGGTGTAACACCCGAGTCCCACTGTCTGTGATGTTTTCAGAGTTTTCAGAGTCCTATCTTCACTTTGTTTACATCGCCGGGACGGCCGGCTGACTCCTCCCCTCGTGTATAAAAGTTGTTTAATTGAGGGACTAGAGAAAAGAAGAATAACATACTGTACTCACTGCTTAACTGTGTTTCTAGATCACGCTCATTTCAGGTAAATTTACATGCAGTGTGAAGATACCAGCATAATAAAGATCACTAGCATTAGCATGCTAACACAACAATGCAGCGCGAGTTGTTTTGGTTTCATGCTGGTGCTCAAGGGCGACATCTGCTGGATCAAAACATCACATATAAAGCCTTTAAGGTGGAAAAGTTCAGTATTGTTGCTTTGATAGACTTCAGGCTGTATCAACGATCGCAGGTACTAAAAAATGGAACAAGAATCTAAACTGTCGCTGCGGTTGGTTCTTAATAAATTAGAGAATCTTAGAAATATGAATCTGAGACTTTCTGTTGCTTTGTGCTGTTGAACTGAAGTCATGCCAAACCCTGACCCCCCAAACCAAGTCACACCCCTCTTCACCAAACCATCCATCCATAGACACGATCATGAAGTTATCTCATGTCGTCTGCTTCTTACCCTCTTGGCCTCTTTGAGTTGTTTCTGCAGCTCGGCCTGCTGCTCCTGCATCTTGCTCTTCCACTCCTGCAGCTGCTCCAGCTGGATCTTGTGTTTCTCCAGCTCCTTCAGCTTGGCCTTGTCCTCCGTCCGCTTCATCTTCAGCGTCTCCAGCTTCTCCTCCAGGTCCTTCAGCTGACCACGCAGCGCCTCCTCCTCCTGGGGAGAAAAAACAACAACAACAACATTGAAGTTTGTAGTTTTTATTTCATTATTGTGTCATACACACGTTTATATGCCCGGTCTGCACGGGCTCACACGACACCATGAGATCAAACATTCCAGGATCAGAGTGCAGAGGAGATCTATTCATTGTTATGAAACAAACAAAAGCAAGACAGACCCTCATTAAACAGAATATCTAAACCGAGTCCTAAAATGTCTCTGATTTTGAATCGACAGACTTCATGACCAGAGGGAGACTATCAGATCTTAACTGTGCGACTGACGATCTTTGGCTTTGGGATAAAAAAACATGTTAAAGATAACTCAGACATAACATTCTGTTTGATCTGTACATACTGTATGTCCTTAGTTTTGACTTGGTCAGAACATTTTCAAACTATTTCTCTTCATCTTTCATGGAGCACATTACAGCACAGATTATTCCTGTAAATATATTCATCATGTCCTCCTCCTCTAAAAATGAATAAAGCTCATTCGCCCATGGAGACTTTATTCTCTCCTCTGCCATTTTGATTAGTTGATTCCATAATCGGATCATTTCACGTTTTCATAGCTCCGCCCCCTGGTACCCAGCCCAGCTCCCCCTGACCTGCTGGAATCAGAGCAAATCTATGAACCTCCAGAAGCCTTGTAACATCTGAGGACAAGAGGAGAGATTTGATATGTTTCTAAAATATTCTGATGAAAGATACTTTGAATAAACACATTAATTCAAGTCTTCAGATGTTCCTTCTCAAATGATTTTCTTCAGTGAATCTTAAAAGTGAAGCGTCAGGTGTTCGGTTTCCTCTCTAAGGTGACAGAACTGTTTTTATGCTTTTATTTCACTTTCCATGCAGCGAATCAACCTGTAGAGAGCAGGGAGTCACACACACACACACACACACACACACACACACACACACACACACACACACACACACACACACACACACACACACACACACACACACACACACACACACACACACACACACACACACACACACACACACACACACACACACACACACACACACACACACACACACACACCACAGCAGGAGATGGTAATTCAATCCTGCAGACACTTTCTGTGAGTTGAGACGGCGCCGCCTCACACACCAATTAAAGAGCAAGCTTCACACTCCTGACAGCTTGTTATCGTGTTAGTGTGAGAAAAACAACACTCCGGTTTCAAGCGCTGAAAAAAAAAAGCGTCACATCACATCACACCGCTTTACTGCACCTGTGTCTCCACAGTGACGTCATCCTGAGGGGGTAAAACACGGATCAGGTTTATGAAGTCCAACAGAACTTTTACAAAATGTTAAAGTCTCAAACATTAAACCACTTTATGGGGATTAATTCACCACATGCTGCAGATTGAATCACTTTATGACTTTGTCTCATTTCTGAGAAGCAGCTGATTCTCTTTTTTCTTCTTCTGCAGCAGACGAGGTGAAGTGGTTAAAGTCAGGGTTGGTAATTATCCAAAAACTAGCATGATTTTGAAAGGAGCATTCCCTCAGTGCTGTGTCTGCACCCCCCTCCCCTCTGTGCTCCCTCATAAGCCACGCCCCCTTCACTTACATGCATGAGCGCCGTCCCTCCAGAAGTGTCTCATTCAGCGGTCAGTAAACTCACAGTTTAAACTCCTAAAGTCATCGGTTACGAGCTTTAAGTGTGGGCTAGAGCGTCAAGAGGTAGAGAGCGAGCGGGGAGACAGGGAGGCGTGTGATTGGTTCATCAGATTGGTACCTCGTGGCAGACATTGGTTGAAGTTTTTACAGACTTACAAACTCATACAGATGACGGATTTTCTTTGTTTCTTTGTTAATTTTTCTCTATGTCGCTATCGGCATCAAAAGTTCCACATCGGTCGTGCCGTAATTAAAATGTTATGAAAACAAAGATGGATTATTTTAAGAAAAAATGGTGCTCATTATGAGTACCAAACATGTATTTCATGGACTCAGGTTTCTCAGTGTGTAGTGAAAAACATGTGAAGGCCTCTGGCTCATTCCAGATTATTATTTTTATAGCTCTCTGACGACACAAACACAAAGTGACAGCTGTGTAGAGAAACGTGTATATTTATAGGAGCTATAGCGCAGAAGATGTCACCTCTCGTTTAACTCGGCTAAAGCACAGAGTCCTAAAACGTCTCTGATTGGTCCGCAGGTCAGACGCTAAAGTTTCACTAAAGTCATCTTCAGTCCAACTAAATCCTTCTACCAGACACAAAACTCAGGTTCTTAAGTGAGTTATGAAATAGCAGCTGTTAGTTTGTTTCCTGTGAGATCAAACATGTTGGACCCGCTCACTAAACTCGATATCACTGAGTACAAACACAAAATGGTCTTTAAGCTGCACGCTCAGCAGTAAGAACTGGTGATACTGTGATTGATTCAGACGTGCAGAGTTGAAAAGAGAGTAAGACGAGTTTCACCCCGACCAGGAAGAAACCAGTTTGAGGTTCTGACCTTGCTGGGGCCAGGAGCTGGAAGGTTTCCTGGCGAGTGGAGGGTGGGGATGACGGGAGCCGCCAGAGGAGTCTGTGCCGGCGTGCTGGGCTCGCTGCTGCTCATCTCCCCGGCAGAGGCCGAGGCCGAGCCCGACGCGGCGCCCTTTCCAGCCGTGCCCGCAGTCCGGCTGGGCTGCTGTGGGAAAACCGAACGGAAACAAATGATGAGAAAAAAACACTCAAATATACCAGAGTCTTAAAAATGATTCAAACTGATGTGCAACTTAGAAACTAAAGCAGTAACTTCCCCCCCGCTACGGCGGCGAAGGAAACCAAGACGTGGTGGAGACGGGACGACGATTTGTGTTTTAAACATCAACAAAAAGACGTGAAAATGGAAGAACAGAAATAAAATATGTTCATCTAAGCAAAAGAATAAAGATGCTTTCAACCCAAAGGTGATCCCTCTGATGACTGTGAATCATGTCCGGTGATGTAATGTCACACACGTGTTGTCAACGCTCACACGCACGCACGCACGCACGCACGCACGCACGCACGCACGCACGCACGCACGCACGCACGCACGCACGCACGCACGCACGCACACACACACACACACAGAAATGTGAAGCCCCGGAAGACTTTGAGGAGCGGGCTCACCTTGGGCCTTCTGGCCGTGGTCTGAGGAGGAGGAACAAAGGTCAAAGGAGAGGAGAGGAGGAGAGGAGGGAAGGAAACAAACATCCAGGGTTAGTGAGATTCAAGGCATATTAAACAGATCACAGACAAAAGGGTCAAAAGAGAAGATGATGTAACAACAATAAAAACTTAGGAAGGTTTATTTCTCTGCTCTGAAAAGTCGCACCATGTCTCCTCGTCACATCCCGACACATCGGCTTGTTTTCTCTCCTGTCCTCTCTGATCTCTGGGGCCTCATCTCATCTCACCCATGTGATCATAAAAACCCTCCGACACTGTGGCTGGTACGGCCGCTGTGACCTAAATGACTGCATTGTGTCTCCGGGGACAGAAAGGAGCCCAGTTCTGTTGTACCGCTCTGTCACGCTGCAGACAGCGCCGGGGTAATAGCTTGTTATCGGGTCGTGTTGCGTGTTTCGGACGTGCAGCACAGCTGGATGGAGGAGCGAGCTGGGAAACATCCTCACTTTGTGTACAGCTGATTACTTCTGCAAATCTGGATGCTTTTAACTGAACTGCTTTAGAGAAGTTGCATAAAGAAAGAAAGATAAAAAAAACATCCTGACAAAATGGGGAGATTATCTAAACTACAGTTTTATAAATTTACTTAAAAGAGATAAAACTGCAGAAAGATGTTTTTCTCTGGTTTTTAAATTTACAAGTAACTACAGTTGTAGAAAAAAAACTGAATTAGTTGTTTGTTTCAAACTTGATTTTCTGAGAAAGTAGCCGTGTAATCAAAGATCATTTGTATGTGATAGCTCTGCTTCGTAGTGGTCGTGCCTTACCATTCTGTACCAAACACAACCACATCGTATCATATTGTCTCATTAATGGTATCACAGAAATTGAGGGATTTATTGGCCGATAAAATATAAATACATATAGAAAAACGAGGACATTTAGGTAGTAACCTAAAGAAAGTCATGACAGAAACTAAAAGGATTTTATGTTTTTTTCTCACAGTTTTTAAATATTTAAATAAATAAAATCAGGTCTGTGCAGTCGACCTGAAGTCCTCCACTTCTCGTTCACTTAACCTCTTCTTATCCATTATTCTCTCTCTCTCTCTCTCTCTCTCTCTCTCTCTTTGCTTCTGCTCCAGCTCGGCCGTCCCTCTGCCTGGTTATCGTTCCTTTATTGGATTAGAGCCGGACCATTCAGCAGAAATTAGCTTTGAGCTAACAGCTGTACCACAATCAGAGCTGACAGCCGTCCTAAGCCACAGTGTCGTGCCGTCGCTAGCAGGACAAGCTGTACTATAACTACACTGTTTGTTCCACATGCTAACCTAAGAGTGCAATCATCTGATTCTCCCCTGATGGATGAAACACTGACCTCATAAAAAAAACGTTCAGCATGATGAGGCTAAATTAAAAGATGACAGAGGAGCTTCTGCACAAACATGTAAAGGAAAGAAATAATTCTGCAGGAGAGACAGTGTGAGTTGGCAAAAAAAATACAATACTGAAGGGAAATAAACTCCAAAAAGATCAAATGAGCTGCAGGATCTCTTCTACTTCCACGCTAGGAATATCAATTATCACAGGAGAGACTAAAAATAGGGCAATTCCCACGATAAGTGAAATGAGGAAACTTCCAAGCAGCTCAAAAAACAACAACAAAAGCATGGAGACAACAGCAAGAAAATCCCCAACAGGTAAAGACAATCGTACGGAGTTCTGTACCTTCCGGGGTGCAGGAGTCTGTCTCATCATATTTGCAAGAGAAGAAGACACACACAACACAGTCACAGAGGAACACACACACACACACACACACAGAGGAAGGAGATAAAAGAGGGCAGAGATGCTCGATCCACAGACGCCGGCTTCAGCAGGACAAACAGTCAAACAAGCAGCTGCTCAGGCCGGGAAGCCGCAGTGGTGCAAATGGCCGCAGCGATATTTTTCTCCCAGGCTCTCCCCCCCCCCCCTCTCCGTCCCTCCCCGCCTCTGCCGGTCCCTTCCTCCTGCTGTCGTCCTCCTTTTTGTCCTCCTTCTCAGCTCCTCTCATAATCCATTTTCCCGGAGCCCCTCGATCAGCACCTCCCTTTCCGTTCTGCTCGACTACGACTCTGACATGCTGCCGCTGCGAGCCTTCGACGTGCAACTGCTCAGAGGAGACGCCTCGCCTCCCTTAACCTTCGTCTCCTCCCTCCCGGTCCCCCCCCCTTTTCTCCCCCTCTGCTTATTGTGATTCCTCAGCCCAGCCAATGCCCTGCGCCTGCATTACATCACTGTGCACCCTCCTCCCTCCATGCCGCCCACCCACTCATCAGCACATCCGACAGACAGACAGGGAGGAGGGGCAGGAGGGTTGGGTGAGACTGTGGTGTGGCGTTGATGCAAGCCTCTCCTGTCTCCTAGCAACACTCACAGAGACGTCCTATGGGCTCATTAAGACGAGACAATAACGACGAGGAAACCTGCACCTGATCTGCATCACAAATTACAGATATTGTTTGACATAGACAAAAGTGTCTGCTAAATCAAATTGTAAACACAATTTTAACCTTGTATTAACGTGGCCAGCTGGTTAGTTTAAAGGTCACATATTCTCCTCTTCTTCAGGTTGTTCCTAAAAACATGTGTGTGAAGTTTCTTGTTCTGAATCCACTCTGATCCTGTACTTGATCATGTCTATAAACCCCTCTATGTCCTATTGTTTACGGTGAGAAGGCAGACTCAGAGGGCAGAGCAAACACCTAGCTGTGGGAGTGTCACCCACCTGGGGGAGGGGCTACTGCCCTTTGTGATGTCATGAAGGGAAAATCTCCAAACGGCCTGTTTGAGCACACATTTTCTGGAGACGTGGAGCAGGCAGAAGACGGAGAGGATGGACTTTTCTCATCATTGGGGGGTTTGTAGACAGACTAGAGACACATGTTAGAGTTAGAGGAACATGGAGAAGAGGATTTTAAAGAATATGTGACCTTTAATACTGACCCAATTAAGGATTCAAATGTTCCACATAAGCAGCAGACATCTCTTTTCTCACAATTATGATAATCTATAACATATGCATCAAAAATAACCTGCAATCAGGCTAATGTTGATACAAAGTTTATGGAAAAAATCACTTAACGTCTACTTATATCTACAGTCTCATTCTGCCCTTTCCTTAAAGTCTTATTTCCTTTTGCTGGTTTATCGTTCTAATAAAGGAGAACACGAGGAGGAACAATCCTTGCAAAGTTAAAATAACCTTCAGCTGGAATTAAGACTCAAAAACTGCAGCTTTAGATGTAAATTCTTCTTAAAAGAAGAAGTCTTTCTTTGTGAAAAGTGATTTAATAGGTCAAAAACTCCCGAAACAGCCCAGAGCCTTTTGAGAAGCAATCGTAGTATCTTCCTCAGCTGCACTAATCTTTGTCTCTGCACCAACAGCTAGCAGGAGGAGAGAGGGATGTAAGAGGATTAATTCAACGAGGATACACTGTGATTAGCTGCAAGCTTTAAACCTGAAATACTTCCACATTGTGGGCACGAGAGCTGGCAGAGGTGCTTTAAGCTAAACTGTGGAGGCTGCGGTAAATAAACGTGTTCTGTCACCGTCAACAAGGGGGGATGGTTGTAAGGATTTGATGGAAGAAAATAGTTTATCATGAGAGAGAGAGAAGCAGAATTTCAGACTACAGGCGGCTCAAAGGAAATCTGTTTAAGAGTATCCATTACAGAGCAGCCGAGGGAAATCTGTCCTTTTAAAATATTAAACTCACTTCCTCACCGCACACAAACCCTAAGTGCTGCTGCATCTCAGAGGACGTGCACAGCCAAAGAGATGTGAGAGAGAGAGAGAGGATGAGAAGGGTGGAGGTGGATCAAGTTCCTGCTCCCCACAGCACACAGGCATCGGGGGGGGGGGGGGGTTTGCTGTCTCTGCAGCCTCCAAGCCGGACAAAGAGCAGATAAAATTACTGTCCAGGAAGCGTAAACACAGCAGAACACAACACGGCTACCTTGTTCTGCAATGTCACCGTTATGCCTCATGCCTCGTCATCCAATGGAAGTACATCTCCAAAGACAAAACTCAGAGTATCTTATTATTATTACCTCTTAAAGGTTTAAAATGACACATCCTGAATATATCCTACGTAAATATATTTTTATCACCTTAAAGAAAAGAGAGTGAAGTCAAACTCCCTCTGGGTTTGTTGTTCTGAGCTCTGTGTTCACACTGACGGGGCAGCCCAGGAGGCCTCGCCCCGGCAGCAGAAGCCTCTGGAGTAGACGGAGCTCCCCCAACCTTCAGCGAGGTGATCAGGTGATACGACCACCTAACGTCCCCGACGCCCACCCACGGCCTGCTCCGACCTCCGACCTCAGCGGCGAGGAAGGCGAGGAATACAGAGGAGAAATCCTTCCTGCATCTAACCCCGTCTCCTGCTATCCCATTTTTCTTTTGCATCATAACAAAGACTTAGGTCTTCTTCCTGCTCTTTAGTAAAGCGTCTCCAGAAACATTTACAGATAATGATTGATTGATTCAGTTAGAATTTGAACACCGTCCTCTCCAACCGTTAGCCCCGGCAACACGCGTTAAAACAGAGATCGACACACCACTGTATGTAGCGCACTGCGGCGTAGCTAGTGACGTAGATTTATTTATTTTTGGGGCTTTTTATGCCTTTAATGGAGAGATAGGACAGTGGATAGTTGGAAATAAGGGAGAGAGAGAGAGTGGGGAACGACATGCGGGACATGAGCCACAGGCCGGCCTCGAACCCGGGTCGCCCGCTTCGAGGACCAAAGCCTCCGTACTTGAGGCGCGCACCAATCACTGCGCCACCAGCGACTCGTAGCTAGTGTTGTAGTGGTTGAAATTGGTGATGATCTCAAGACCACTTTTTGAAGGTCTCCATCTCGTCTCAGAATCAAACGCATTTCTGGTTTGATGGTTGATGGAGGCGGGAAAGGTCTTGCTTTTTTATTTTTATTTTTTGTTTGTTTTTGATTTGTTTTGTTTCTTTTGTTTGTTTTTCTTTGTTTTACTGTGTTTTGTTTTGTCCTGGCTTTATGTAGAGGTGAAGTGTACCTCTTGTGTTTTTGTTTGTCTATTGGGTGTTACTATAATAAAAAATTAAAATTAAAATTAAAAAAGAATGGAAAGCATTTCTCCTCGGCCTTGTCTCGGTCTCTGACTGGGCGGACTCCAGATTTTAAATCAAGACCACCACTGATCGCCTATTTTTCAACGTCTTTACTGAGATCAGAAGGAAAACGCCTCTTTCTAAAAGAAGGAATAACTCCATTTTATTTGTAGTTTCATTTTTATCCTCCGGGTAAGGCTGCAACCTTCCCGGTCTTCCTTCCTTTAACATTTTCCAAGGAGAGTTTTTTTCTACAAACTTAATAAGTTTAAATCTTTTATGTGTCCGGGCAGTGGCCTGACCGAGCTAACATGCTTAGCTTGAAGAACACAAAGATGAATGTGTGTGTGTGTGTGTGTGTGTGTGTGTGTGTGTGTGTGTGTGTGTGTGTGTGTGTGTGTGTGTGTGTGTGTGATGAAATGAGGCTACAGACGTCACTGGAAACATAAATCAATATCCCACCACACACAGGCATGTTGGAAGCTCAGTGGTGGTAAAGTCATGTAATCAGTAAACCAGATCTGTCTTACTCTCCTACAACTGTCAGTCGTCCATGTAGAAACATATTGAAGATAGTATATTTAGGTTCTTTACATGGAGATCTACATTTCCTGATACTTCATATATCCACTCCACTGCACTCAAGAGGCAAATATTTCAGCTTTTTCCCGACACAAAGAATATCTTCGTTGAGGTTTCCGGGGAAATGCGACATCCTAAAATAGATATGAACCGACATCTACAAACAAAACAGAGATTTTTAATCCTGCTGCTCGAGCCTGAGCTGAACTACTGATCCTCGAAGTCCACCCGCTGAAGAGAAGATGCAGAGCGCGGAGACGATAAAGTAGACCGGAGCTGACAGGAAATCGATTCTGTGCAGGTTTGATCTTTGCAGGAGGGAGGTCGGTTTCACCTCAAAGTCACAGCTTGACATTTTCAAACCGGCAGCAGAGAAAGGAACGCCTGCACGTCTGACTCAGAGCAGTTAAAGAGCATCGGCCTGTCTGAGCCGACGAGAATCCCCTGGTGGCTCAACATCACGTGCTTTGGTGGTGATGAGTAACAAACTACTCTTACTCTCATTACTGTGATTGAGTAGCTTGAGTGCTCACACTACAAGGTGTGAAAATCACATAACAGACTTTAGGATTTTACTTGAGTCGGGAACGTCCCCGCAATTGTCGGGAAAGGAAGAATCAGACCTCAAATTGGCCCGATTATCCTGCAGTGAAAGTCAGGCTTAAGATAGGCTCTCTGCTCCCAGCTCTGGAGAGCAACCCTCCCCTGGCAGCCCTGCAGCGTTCTGCCCATGGAGGTATTATAGAACGGTTAGGTGGAGCCCCGTTTGCTCAGTGTTGCATGAAACATCTGTATCCGTTGATCTACAGACGTCTCTTTCTCGATGTAAGCTTATGGGAAAAATCATTTTTGGTTCCAATCGCTGCAATACCAGGTTCAGCCACCATGTCAAATTTGCTCAAACGGTCAGTGCACTTCCTGGGGGTTTGGTTCCGCCCACGGTAGACTTCCAGAGAGTTGGTAAATCAGAATAAAATGAGCACCTGGGGAGGGGGAGGGGCCTTAAAGAGAGAGCAGTTCCTTGCGGCGGTCGTCTAACACCGCTCAGAAAGACGACAGCTAACAGGATGAATCCACTGCGACTTCAACATGCTTAAAAAGCACAGACAGCAGACACACACACACACACACACATCATGAGCCACAGAGCAGACACAAACAGAACGCAGCACAGAGAATGGCGAGGTGACGTGACAGACAAGAAGTGGGCGTGGCACTCAGGCAGACAGGGGTCACCCTCTCACTTCCATTTTTCACTCAGAGAGACACAAAGCGGCTGCAACAACATCAATGATGGACGATGAAGTGAGGTGGGCAGGGGATCGTGGGTACATGAAAGTTGATGAGGGCCCTGTTGCCATGCAGCAGCAGCAGCAAGGCCATCCAGAGCCACGGTTACCATGGTTACTACGGTCATCGACATAACATTACCACTGTACCAGGTTTAGAGAAACATGCAACACCTTTTTAGGCTTCAGTCCTCGCTGCGTGGTCGAAGGAAAAGAAGGGGAAGGCGGTGAGGAGGTGAGGATAGGAGGGAGGAGGGAGGGAAGGAGGGAGGAGGGAGGGAAGGAGGGAAGGAGGGTGGAGGTTAAAGAGTTTGTCAGAGGCATGCTGGAGGTGACGGGGACCGTGGTGATCTTTGTGGGAGGAGGAATCAATTCATCACTGCATATGTTTCACACAGCCGTGTCTTCATTCTCACTTTGTTCCTTTTTCACACAAACTTCATTCAAATGTGTCGAAAGTGTGAATGAAATTTATTTTTATTTTCAGTTGTGAACGAGGAAATGATGACGCAACAGACACACTTCTTCATTATCTGCACAGATGTTGAGCTCAGTGGAATAAAACAATATTATATACTAATTAACATGCACACAAGAGATCTAACAAATGTGTTCATCTCTCGTCTGTCTGTAGTGAAGAATGTGGTTAAAATACGTCTTAAGAGATGATAATAAAGCTGTTTGTGCATCTCATTCCTGTCGTTTATGTTCATGCCTCACCTCAGGTCAATGTGTTTGCAAATGCACGTTTAAATATTTCAGTTTTAAGTCATTACATTGTGCTTTAAACCACACCACACCTCTTTCTCCTTCCTTTGTTCATTTTTTAAAGCCTAGACAATCAGTTTGAGGCTGCAACATTAAATAATGCTTCAGAGAAAATAAACCCCTAAAATATTTTCAGTTTGAGATGACATGAGAAGGGTTAAATGAATTAAGAAATGTGCCAATCATCAGAGTCTCTGTCTGCTGCTGCTTGAGGTAATGGACTTTAGGGTTGAACTGATCTCAGCTGAGCTCTTCTTTTTGGTTCCTTGTGGAAGAGAATCAGCAGCGAGTGTTTTTATGAGTAAGTATCGCCCTCTGCTGGTCAGATTTGGAAGCTGAACCTGAAGGAGACTTCATGTGTTAAAGTTCAGTTTGTCCAACAGAACCAGAGCGTTTATTTAAATTAATTAAAAACATATTGTTTATTTTATGATCTTTTTATTATTGTATTACAAAAAATGACAACATGTGCTCCATTTCATTTCCTCAATATGCATTTTTATACTTAATTAATTCTTCTGTAAGTTTCTGATTTTCAGCTTTTTTTTAAGCAAAAATCAAACAAACCACTGAGGAGATTTTTGGTCACCTGCTTAATAATTAATCTGCAGCATTTTATTGATCCAAATGACTGAGATTTATTTGCAAATATGCTCAAATATAAATATCAATCTGCTTCATGGAGAGCTTTTGTTGACGAAATGTCACGGTTAGCGATGTGTGTGTGTGTGTGTGTGTGTGTGTGTGTGTGTGTGTGTGTGTGTGTGTGTGTGTGTGTGTGTGTGTGTGTGTGTGTGTGTGTGTGTGTGTGTGCTTCTGGTTTCCTGCAGAGAAACTTCATGATCTCAGGTGTGTTTTCTGACTCACCAGTTTAGCGGACTTGGACGTCTCCAGGATCTCTGCAGAGATAAAAAAGAGAAACAAAGAAAGTGAGACTCAAACGTTTTATTAAAATGAATGTTTATCTTTTTTTTACGAGGTTTAAAGTCCCTCAATAATCCAGGAGCGAGTCAACATGATTAACTGTCTCTAACAGGTGGTTAACACAGGAGACATGGATCATACATTTTTAAGTTGTAGTTTAGGGACAATTTTGCCTTTTTTCAGATCGGACAGCTGAAGAGAACAGGAAGTGTTGGGGGGGGGGTGACATGTAGAAAAAGACAGAGGTCAGATTCAAACCCACTGCCGACGATGAGGACTCTAGCCTCTGTACAAGGGGCACGGAACATAATCGCTAGGCTCTCTGGCACAGTGAACATCTACTTTTTCACATCAGTTAACCGTTCGCTTATTAAGGGGCGATAAAAAACGATTTATAAATGTAAAAAGTTACATATAGAACCTTTAAGTTTCTTATTCTCAGTATTACATTTGAACACATCATGACAACATTTTATTTACCTTTTTTTTTTACCTGATAGTCATTTTACTGAGCTGACCTTGAACGCATCATAATGTACCTGTAAGTCTCCAAACTGATGGATAATAATTGCAAAAGATGAACTATAAGAGTCTGAACGTGTTTGTACCTCGTTTTGGAACCTTGCCGGTGCCGGCCTCAGGTGTCTCCGGAGACGTCGTGTCTGCGCCATCGTCGACCAGCTGGATCTGAGACGGGGACAGAAAGACAGAAAGAGACGGTTAGTGATGATGATTTTGATGATGTTGATGAAATTTAAGCTCTGACAAAAGAAAGGGAACTCTAATATTTTATCCTTTTTCCTATAAGTATGAATGTCTGTCCCCTCCAGGCCACCATACTTTAAATAATCTATGATCTCTGTAACACACAGGGGCGCACTCTGCAGTATTTTTCTGTAAAGAAGAAAATCTTTTTTGTTGTATGAGAAAACAGAGAACGCAGCCTGCAGCAGTAAGAAGTCTGACACCCAGAGGAGAGCGGAGAAAAACATCAACCCCCACACGAGCCCGGTGAGTCAAAGAAAAACAAAATCTCAAACATCTTACAAAACTGTGCTGACATCATCCTCTGCTTTCTAGAAAAAGGGAAAAGGTATCTGTGTATCTGTTTACCTGGGACTGTCTCACAAATATCCCGCGATTCTCCTCGCAGGTGAAGTAGCGTTTGCCCTGCACCGTGCCGTCGTTCTTGCCCTTGGCCTCGTCCAGGATGACTCCCACCCATTTTCCAGAGGCAAACAGCGTGTTGCCGATGTAGGCCACCGTGCCGCGCTGCCCTTTTCCAATCACCTCCACCAGGGAGCCCACTTTGACGGGCCGCCCGCCCCCGTCTGAGCTCATCCTGCTGCTGCCGCTGCTGGTGGTCTGCAGGGGAAGGACAGGGAAACAAAAGTTAAAACAGGGAGTTACATCAACATCAAAACGACTGATTTTAGTTTTATTTGTCTTCATTTAAGGGGGAATAATTAAAATGCAGCAGCCAGTATGTCCTCCTTCTAACTTTAGATTCTGCTCCTGAATGCTCTGGATTTGTTTGGACCAGAGAAGGTAGGTGCTTTTAAGGCGACCCCCCCCACACGGCCGTTTTGGACGCCCCTCGGTTTGCCAGATATGAGAGCAGTTATCAGGTCAACAGGTGTTGCAGTGATGGAAGCGGTCAAGAGAAGTGGTTCAGATAGAAGTGATTGTACCCGACCTAAAAAGCCTCTGCATGTTTCTAATAAGCTCCACGAGCAGAAACGTGCTCAAACTAGGATCAATATTGGAGATGCTTTTGAAAAATGGAGAGAGGTTAGAACACAGAAAGGTTTACAGACCCATGCAGAGCTGGATAAACACTGAAGCTTCAGAGTCCACCACATGGTGACCTGAGTGAGCGTCCACTCTAGAGAGGGGGGGGGGAGACAGCTCTCTATGATGTTTAAATTTAGACTGCAGTACCCATTTTAAACACTAGGTGTCAGAGTTACATACTGCTCCTTTAAGCGTGGTAAATATTTTGGAATAAAGGACATCACTCCCTCTCCAAATTTAACCATTCTTCTTTAAAATCTGAGTCACAAGTTCCCCAACTTTAGGGAAGTTAAATTCTAACATGTTGTTTCTCTGCAGGATGTTCTCTAAACTAAAAGAATTCCAGGTACAATTCTTCTGTTTGCGTTCACACATACAGCTCACCCTGGATATTTCAAGGCGTTTTTCAGGAGTTTTGTGCAGGTGTGAAAGCACCAACAGGGTCTTTCTGACCCACTGAGGTGTGCAGACCACACTAACAAAAGCATGCCTTATCCTGCTCTCACTAAATGTCAACTACAAGCTACAACAGCACCGAGCACAGAAATGTTTGTGTTTATCAACAGCAACAAACTAAGTGAGTTGTCATACAGCCGCTCTGATGTGCGGACAACAAAAAGCCCATGGGCTCGTAGTAAAGCTGCAATATTTCATAATCAAATAATCCTCCATAACCCAATTTACAGTGTGCTGTCCTAGAAGTGACGGTGACTCAGCAGACAAGCAGAGAGAGAGAGAGAGAGAGAGAGAGAGAGAGAGAGAGAGAGAGAGAGAGAGAGAGAGAGAGAGAGAGAGAGGAGCAGATATTATTACACTGAGCGAGAACACAGACTCTCCTTGAGCTCGCTGTAAACACACACTGCTGCTGTTTGACTTCAACGACACAGAAACAACCCTCCACAGAACCAAAACAGACGCACAGCAGCAACACAGAGATGATCTTAAAGGTACTCGTCTGACTCCTCCACTGCAGGAACTCTGTGCTCTTTACGAGGGATCATGAGAGGACATTTCTGAGGGTCAAAACTGTTGACAACCTAAGGGGGGACATTTTAGTAACTCCAGTGTTTCCCCCTACCAGTCAACATGATCCTTCACCACTCCAAGAGGAAGGCATGAAATTCTTCATTTGTAATATTTACCATTTGGTAAATGTGTGCACTCAAAAGCAGGGTTGAAGAATACAGACTTTTCTTTACTGGGGTTGCCGAAGTGGGGGACCTGAAATGCAGGGGTGGCATGAAGTTTGTGTGCATTCTAGTGTTAACCACTTTTTGAAGGTCTTAGTCCAGGCTCGCCGTTGTTTGGATCTCAGACTGGGCGGACTCCTGATAAAAAAATCTAAACCACCACTGATTGGCTATGTTAACGTCATTACTGAGATGAGAAGCAAAACGCCTCTTTTCTAAAACAATGAATAACTTCAATTCATTCATAATTTGTTTTCTATCCCCCGGTTGGTCTTGGTCTCGGTCCTGACCCCTAAATGTTTTGGTCTTGTCTCGGTCTCGGAGCACTCTGGTCTCGGTTACAACACTAGTGCATTCACAAAAGGGACAATGAATTACCATTAACTGGCTTTACTGTCCCCACTTATCAGATCAAATCTACTCTAATCAAACAGACGAACTGAGTTGTTCGCTCACAATAAATTTACAGTAAAGTAGTTTTCATGGTGCCGCTGATTTATTGATTGATTTCACTTTTGTTTCGATTATTTTCTTCCAGAGAAATAGCCGCTACAGACCCATCTGGAGAAGGAATGAGGAAAGTGAAACAAAGGGAAGAAGTGACGTCTGGTTAGACGACGTCCTAACACAGTCGGTTATATTGCACAATCTGTACGACTTAAAGCAAAGTAAAGGTTGGAATGTGTTTTCATAAAGAGCGTTTTGTTTCAGGACCAACTCTCATGTCAACGTGAGTGAAAAAATCACTCCAAGAATTTTAATGATCAGAGATTCATGGACTCTGGAGAATTTTTTACACAGAAGCTTAAAGAAGACTTCTTAAGGGGGGCGCTTTGACGGGTTTATCTCTAAAGCTTCTTTTAAAGGATTCCATGATGCAGAAAGGACCCTGAAGTTAAAGGAAATGTTGTCAGACACACGACGAGGAACTGGAAACAAATCGTCTGCTACTTCCCGACAATTTGAAATAACATCAAAATAAGTCAAAATGATCCGCTCCTCGTCTCGTAGCCTCCATTTCCTCTTTTTTCTTGCTTGCATATGAAACCAAAAATGCTTTTTTTTATGAACATCCCTGTTAAGATATTCGGTCTGTAGCAGCTCTGAAACCCTCTGATTGCGTGAAGCTAATTAACCTAGCTTTTAATTCATGACCACTGTGGAAGCAGACATTTCTTAGCAGTATTCATGAGTCTCTTTGCAAAGCATTTCCTTCAACACAATCAAGTCCTCTAATCTTTTATTCACGCTTTAAAGTCTATTTTAAATCGCTTCAGGTTCCTGACACAAGCAGGAAGCAGCAGCTCGGCTTCTCGGCTCCGATGCACCTGTCAGCTCTCTGCAATCAAACGCCCCTTGTTGTTTATAATTCAAACCTTATCTGAAGTCATAAAACAGCTGCTCTTCTCCGGCTAACAGACTGTAAACGGAGCCCTGGGTGTTGTTCTGTTATCGCCACCCTGACCCGTTTGCCATGTGCTGCAGGAAAAATGACCCGAGGAGGACGTGTTGAATTATTTAGTGCCACTCTACTCTTAAAACAGTGGCATGCTCACGCAGACGACAACACTAAAAGAGAGATATAAACAGTGATAGCGCCTCATTTACTGCACTGTTACGCATGGCTGAAGGTGCTGGAGGAACCCGTCGGCCTGAAGAGGGTATAGCTCTGAAAAATAAAATAAGTTCCTAAGTCACACAGGAAATATAACAAAGAGTAACATCTTAAAGATAATTCACATGAAGTAAGAGTTTGTCTGAGATCTGAACGAAACACTGTGATGTCATCCCTCCTCATGAGCGGGACGCGGCCTGACTCAGAGTCGGATGACAAGCGGGAAATTTTCTGGGTCTCATGGATCCAGTTTCTAATGATGAGTCCTTCAACGAGTCGTTGATTTGTTTATTGAATCAGCATTATTTGCCAAACTTTGTAATCATTTAATAAATCTTTGGGGCGATCTTCCAGAAAATATGTCTAACAGATGCTTCTTCAAGCTTGCTTTTTTCATGATTTTAATTTAAATCTTGGTGGGTTTTTAAAACTGTTTGACCAAAGAAGCAAGCTGAGGAATGCTGGAGAATAATGCAGGAGACTTTCTGTTTAACCTCATGGTTGTTTGCATACACAAGCAGCTGCTTCATGAATGTAATCGTGTACAGACTTGACCCTGCCAAGTGTGTTACTGTAAGAAACCTCTAGAGGGCGCACCAGAGACCTCAGGACATATACAACGGGATGTTAGTATCATTTCAAACTGCGATCAGAACCATCATAATATTAATATCGATAACCAACAGTAACATCAGATCAGCTCAGACGACTCATGACCGGTGGACAGAACACACCGACTCAGCACCGTCCTCACTTCAACATTTTCCTTCATGCATGAGCGCCGCGTAACGGTCCCCAATACTTTGGTTTAACGAGGTGACCCTAGAAAGTATATTTCTGTCTTAAACCCTGAACGTAAGACAGAAAATGAAATGTGCATTAACATCGTTCAATACTGCGATAATGACATGAAGTGTTGGGACAGTGTGGGACACCGGCTGCCCGCTTTGAGAACTGTAGCCTCTGTACATGAGGCATGCAAACCAACCGCTAGGCCACCAGCACCCCATAAGTCATAGTTTTTATGTCTATCTACTGTTTATCTGTGTTTGTCATATGTTTCTCCCTAATCCAAACAAAGCGTTTTTATTTACCACCAATTAATCTGAGGTTAGCGGACGGTTAGCTCACCTTCCTCTGACAACATGAAGAACGGTTTGCAGGTATCACTATTAACCTCAGCATTGCTTTCTTACAACGAAAACATTTTTCCATGTGTCCATCGCGAATGCTCACATCGCAATAACGATGCGTTTACGATTAATTTGCATGGCCCATAATGAGCATTTCTTAAACTTTTAGACACCTTAAGACAGCCTCAAAGGTGAATGATTGATGGTAAAAGTCTTCTGCAGATGAATCCAAATGAAAATAATTTTGAGTTGGCCTTATAATGTTTAGTCTTTAGTTGAGTTGAGTCATCTTCTCAGAGGTCTGAACCTGAAGATCAGAGCAGGAGCGACGTATAACCCTGAGGGGGCATCCGAGGCAAACAAAGAGGCGACAATCCAGACACCAGGAATGCAGCATAAAAATGGATGTAAGCCGCTTCTTTTCAGAGTGAAATGGACAAGCAGGAGGTGACAGAGTGAAGCTAATTGATCGGACAGAGAGAGGAACAATACCACGTAGATCAGGACTAACTTAAACCACCACAGTCCGACCCCTTTCCAAACACAACCTGGGACGTAAACACACTCACCCGTGTGTACGTGTTCCTCCTGGTTTGTGACATGTTTCCTGCTCGCCCCACAAGTCTCCAGTCTCCCCTGAAGGAGTGTGTAAACGGGGAGAGCGTCGGCCAGACAGAAGGAGTCTGGAGGTGGGGGGGGGGCAGTGATGCTTCTGGAGCGTCTCCCTCTTCCTCTCTGTCTCTTTACAGAATCACACCATCCCCTCTCCTCATCCTCACAGCCTCTCTTAAAAAAAAAACACTCCCCGCCCCCTCCTCTTTGATGCTGCTCCCAAAAACAAGAGCCAGCAGGACAGGATCTTGGCTCTTGAAAAAAAAAAGTTTCAATGCCGATCGAAGCCCATCCGACTGAACGGGGCAGAAGGAAAACAGCAGAGCAAAGGAGTGAGACGGCTCGCTCGCTTTGAGTGCATCAGCTGAGCGGCTGCTGCTGCAGAGCGAGTGTCTCTGCGCTGGCTCCTGCAGGAGGGGAGGGAGGTGTAGGCCTAGAGACTCATGGAGGCGCTGGGTCCTAAAGCCTGCAAATCAGCCTCTTTAAAAAGCTGCTAAAAAAAAACTTGACAAGTCATGATTCCCATGCATGTCGACCTTTTGTTGACATCATGCAGACATTCAAACCTCTGAGTTTGTGACTGTTTACAGACTTTTTAAACGTACATTTAAGTCCTGAAAAGACAAATGATTTCACTACCTAACTGTGAGGCAGCTGCAGAAGTGTCCTAGGTGGTGGGCACAGGTAAAACTGTTTCTGCGCACACTGCTGGTGCCGTCTCAAAACGGTGACAAGCTCACTGTGGGGTTCATGTCTGATGGACTCTTGTTGAAAGGCAAAATTACACACCAAATTTAGGCAAAATTAAGTGGTACAAAGTTAATATTTGCTCTGTGGGGCAGCTGTGGACATGTGGTTAGGGTACACGCCCCATGTACAGAGGCTGTAGTCCATTAATCGGGAATCCGACCTTCCCGCATGTCATTCCTCACTCTCTCTCCCCCTGATTTCTGACTCTATCCACTGTCCTGTGTCCGTATCTCTGCAGCTTAACCGTACTCATAAAACAAATACAGTCCATCAAAATAATGATAAAGAAAGACATCCTGAAGCTACACACTGCAGCTGAGTCACATGACGGATGTTTATAGTTTCATTCTTCTTCTAAACGTGTCAACTATCCGAGGAAATGCTAGCCCTCAAATTTAAAAAACAAAAGCACAGGCAGTAAGCAATTTCCAACCAAAAAAAGAGGGACAGCCAACCAGTTCAGCTCAATCTGTTTTCATTGTGTGTGAACACAAAAGGCCCAGGTGATGCTCTGTAACGCAGCACACACACACACTGTAAGCAGGAGCCAGCGCATTGCATTAGCGCGCCCCGTCTGATGCTGTGGCCCATCACAGAGCATGGATTAACTCTCCTTTATCAGCTTTTATCAGCTAACTGCATGGCTCGGGCTTTTTTTTTTTTTAACTCTCAGTCCTCTCTATTTCTGTGTTGTCATCTTTTTTTTGCAATGGGAGCAAACGCTGCAGGGTTTCAGTGGAAAAGCTTTCAGATTAGAGGATGACGAGGGATGCTGATATCAGGGACAAGAGTAAACAGCCTTTAAGAGAGGGACATATGTAATTCCCTTTACAAATAATGCATCACTTACAACGCTTCAAGAAACAAGCATGGAGCAGGACACAAAATACACAATCTGAAGGTTTAGATTTACCTCCGCACTGACTGCAAAAAGTGCATTAAAGTCTAGAAAACAGCTTGTAGACATGTTAGGAGACTGAAACACTGTTGAGGATGTTTAGGGACAAAAACAAACCTCTGCAGTCTCTTTGCACCCTTTTATGCAAATGACAAAAGCAGAACCACAAGAGGGGGTGCTGTAGCTCTTATCTCTCACCGGAAAACCAGCAGACAGCCAAAAAAAGAAAAATATCAAAGAACTGCTTTACAGCTTTACAGCAAATGGGAACAATAGGAAGAGAAAGAGGCGTCACCAGCAGCTCAACCAAAGCGCTGTCTGCTGCTGCTGCGAGAGCACGGGAAGGTTGCAGGAACAGAGGTGACACCACACAGACTGCACCTCAGACGTCTACAGGTCCAGGAGGATCAAATCAAAGTCACAGACGAGGTAAAAGACGAGCGTGAGCATGCATTCATTAAGATTCAGAAGATTTGTTTGATTGTGTTAAGATTTGTGCATGATGTTAAAAGCTGAATGATGGTGTGAAAATGCTGCGTCAGGAGTCATGAAGGTAGAAAGGTAATTTTAAGGTACGTCAGACAGCAGAGAGTTTCATTCAGAGCTGCAAACAACAAGAGCTTTAATTAGAAATTAATCTGTTAGATAAGTCAGTTATTCTTTAAAAGAGAAATCAGTAAGATTTTTTATATTTTTTTCAAATATGAATTATTGTTTTTTATTGATTATTATTATTATTGATTATCTTCATTTTTGCCTTGACTGCTGTAACAATGCAAATTCACCTGTTTTGGGATTTATAGAGGATTCTCTTGTCTTATATAAATATTATAATTTAAGTTTACTAGACAGGATAATCTACATTATTTAAGATAAAAATAAGATAAGATAAGATATACTTTATTCATTCCAGCAGGGAAATTTAGGTGTCCCAGCAGCCAGCATACATACAAACACACAACACAACACATATATACATACATATCCCACCCATACAAAAAAAACATGAGCCCACAGTATTATACAAAATTACCATGTTGAAGGGACGCCCTACTGCTGACCCTACTCACTGCAATCAAATTAAAATAGCACAAGCAGGGGACACTTCTTACTTAAACAAAAGAAATGTAATTTTTACTTTTATTTGCACAAAAACTTCAGGCCACCCCTGCATAACTCAGGGTCTGGGATGGGCTGGGCCACCCCAGTCTAATAAGTCTGGGTTCGGCCCTGTTGGTTAGACTAACGCGCTTCTGAGCAGGTCATGTTAATTTGTCCAGGAGCAGCAGGACAGAGGGATCTGTTTATGGGAGGAGGGGGGGGGGGCAACAAGTGAACGACAGGGACTCAACTTTAAAGAGGGAAAAGTCAGACAACTTCTCAAGGATTTACAATCATCCCTCATCGAGAGTTGCGTCTGATTTCATTTCTGTTAAACTTTTCATATTGCGACTGATAAATTCTTCACACACATGCACAAACAGGATCCTATTCACTCATGGAGTGGGGTTACACATGAGGGAGCGGGGGGGTCGGTGCCTTGCTCAAGGATGTGCAGTGCTCAGGAAGTGAACCTGCACCTCTCCAGCTACCAGACTTGGTCCGCGACGGGACTTGAACCTATCGTCCCTACAGACCAAGCCGCTGCCGCCCCAAATCATTAACTCATAATGAAGAATAATTCTGTTCACACAAGTGGAAACACATTAGGTAATTATGTTGAGCCTTTCTTCTCCCACTAAGTGCATGTTAATGATATTCATTCGATGGTCACACACTGGAAAATAGGTCATCCAAAGAAAACCGGGTCTGCTCTTCTTTTTATTTCACTCCAGGGTGCAAGAGAACAAATTTTACTGCATTCTCATTTTTACAAATCTTATATAAAACATTTATGGCTTCAAATAAAAAAGATGAATCTGTAATTTGGTGCCATCTAGTGAGTTTAAAACCCAAAGACCTCTGATCCAGACATCCCACAGCCTCCCTGACCAGAAAGGTGTTTTATATGTCATTTATATAACAAATACAAAAAGGTAAATAAATGTAATGTTTGCCTGTTCAGTCAGGTGCTAATCATAATAAATCACATCTTGGGTGTGGCTGCAGCCTTACATGACATTTTAAACCCGTCAGATTAACACAATAGGATGAAACAATTAGAGGAAGGAGATCTGGACTGCAGATTAAATCATTTAATCGAGAATAATTCGACCAGTCATCCCATTAAAGATGGATATTCACAACACATCGCTTTAATTACCAACAACAAAAGATTATTAAATATTGTTTGATGGTTTTCACTTAGTTATTGGTCGTTTAAACCACAAAATAAATCATTTTTACGGCTGTAAATGTGATTAAAAAATCGACATTTCTGTGATTGTTGGTGCTGTCAGCTGTCAGCGGGACACTCCCTGACAGCCGTTAGCATGAGGAGCCGCTAGCTTCGGGTTAGCTTCCGTTAAAAACGTTTAAAAGACTTAATTATATAATAAAAACACACATGTATATAAACGTATATGTGTACAGGCAGATGAGTTTATGTTTTTTTATAATATATCCAATTGTCCAGGTGACATACATGCACTAAATCTTACCTGTTTGTGTCCTGAAATCGGGCTAACCGCTCAGCTTCGTCCCCGACAGGCTACATCCATCCATGGAGGTCTGACCGGACACATCCGCTGCGAGGTGTCCGGGCTGCTGCCTGACTCGGCCCGCCTCACAGCACCGGAGAGGCCCGCTGATACCAAACACACTTTCTTTTTTTTAAAATGTATTTCAAGTATTTGACTGTGTTCACAGGTGAGTTAATACAAGGTGAGCATGTTCAAAATAGACTGAATATTACTTGTTTTCTATCCAGACAGAAATAAAGTCATCATACTCTGAAACATTTCTTGAATAAACATGTTTATTTCAGCATTTTTTGACATTTTTCTATTTGTTAATATATCCTAAATGTATTTAATTCATTATTCATTCATTCATAATGAAAGACAAACATAAAACCTCAAATATAGAATGAAAAGAAGCAGAAAGAAGAATGATATCAGGTTTATTGTGCGTCCCTCTTTCATGAGACATTAATTAAGAAAGCTGATAATTCAGTAAAATTACAAAAGAAACAGGCCAACACAACCAGTTACAGCTCATTTTATACCATTCAAAGAAGATCACAGAATTATGAAACTTAGTGAACACATTTCATAACATTTCCTCAACATCTTGCCTTTAATTGTTTTGTATTTTAATAAAATATTTGCATTAGATTCTTTGGTTTCTCACAGTAAAGCAACGTTCCCTCAATTTGGTTCTGAATATTCATCATTTAAAGATCTCTCTTCCTTTTAAGTCTTAATGGTTCTCCTCTTTTGTAAAATGTTTTCTGGATGTTGGTGGGCAGCGGTTTCTGAGTTTTCTGAATAATTCATGAAACATCCACATGGGTTTGATGGATCTCTATTCTGGCAAGTCAAGTTCTCGTATTGGAAGACATTTTTTATAAAAAAAAAAAGAAAGATCAGATCTCAGTTGGATCCTCGCCCTGTAGCCACAGCCTTTCTCTGTCTCTCTAGAGATTCAACAGACTCGTTCTACCTGTTCCAACAGGTGTGAGACTTTTAAAGAGACCAGCGTGATGATGAAAACACCTATAGAGGTATAAAGAACTGAACACACACGTCATAGAAAACAGTCTCCTGACACCGTGATGGGAGGAGATCTAAT